GTAGAGTGCATTACAGAAATCAAGATGAGAGGTTACCAGTGCATGTACTACAGTTTTGAGGTCCCTTACTTCCAGGAAAGGGCGAGGTCCCTTACTTCCAGCTGGCGAATCAGCTGAAGCTGATAACAGGTGCTCCTGACCGTCACATTTACCTGGTTAGTCATTTGGAGTGATGGATCCAGGAGCACCCAAGACTGCGTACATAGTCCTTCACAGAGAGTGTGACCCCGTCCAGGACTGGAGGTTGTATCCCAATACCTGGTTTTGGACCCGCTACTGTGAGTACCTCTGTGTTATCTGGATTCAGTCTTAATCTGTTTTTTCTCATCCAGTCCATTAGTGCCTTAAGACAGTCATTGAGGGGTGAGATGCCATCTGAAGCTGAAGTTGAGGACTGAGACATGGAGAAATATATCTGGGTGTCATCAGCATACTGATAACACTCCACTCCATGTCTCTGAATGATCTCTCCCAGCGGCTTCATATATATGTTGAACAGCATCGGGGACGGGATGGCGCTTTGAGGGACACCACAATTAAGCTTTTTTTTTTTTGCAGAGCACCTGTCCCCGAGCAGCACCCTATGGAATCTGCCCAAGAGGAAGGAACAGAACCACTGCAATGCAGTGCCTCCAATTCCTAACCTACTCCAAGAGGATATTGTGATCGACAATGTCAAAAGCTGCTGAGAGGTCTAGGAGCACCAGCAGGGTCACACTACCTCTGTCAATGCCCAGACGAAGGTCATCAGCCAAGGCAAACATGGCAGTCTCAACTCCAAATCCTGTCCTAAAGCCAGTTTGAAATGAATCTAGATAATCGGTTTCTTCCAAGAAGCTTGGAATTGAAAAGTAACCGCCCTCTGTTATACATGCCCATGGCCCTGGCAAGTTTGGAAGGGTAGACAATGGCAATGTATAGAAAGTACATTTCTATAGCACTTACCAGTGCACTTAAGCACTCCCTAAGCAGTTTATAATGTGTAAGCTAATTGCCCACAACAAGCTGGGTACTCATTTTAGTGACCTATGGAAGGATGCAAGGCTGAGTCGACTGTGGAGCCCTGGGATTGAACTCACAACCTTGTGGTTGTGAATTGCTGCAGTACAGGCATTTAACCATTGCACCACCAGGACTCCTTAAATGACACATAAGGATCTTCTGGCTTCTTTGTATTCCTTAATTTTTCAACAATATCCCATTTCCCAAGCATCAGGAAAAGATAGAGCAAGGACATATTACTTGAGTACATAGGCACTATGCAAGAGGACCTGTGGCATAGCCTGCACACAACCACAATTTATGAAGAACTCATGATCTCAAGAGATACATTAGCTGTGAGAAAAAAGTGACAAGATATCACAGTGTAAGTACAGGAGGAAAGCAATTCTGCTGTAACAGATGTCTTGGCCATTCACAGCACTAATAAGCATTAATTATGTACTTTTGTGTGCCAAAAAGCATCTGGATGGTGCCTATCAAGCCTATTTCAACAACACCATTGTGCTATTTCAAACTGACATTTATTTCACAATGAATAAAACCTGCAGATTTGGTGATAAATCTGGGTTTATTTGAAAAGACGATGGAGTGTTTAACATATTTATCTGGACCTAGAACGTACCAGAATTCCGGCTTTGTAAGGCCATCATCAACATGGAAAGATGAATTGGAGAACCATATACTGTAAGCAGCTTGAGATTTCTCTGCTGTTTTCTCCATGGCTGTTCCTCTAAAAGATAAGGTACCTTCAAACTAAACAGCACTTCATCTCCTTAGCGGGGTGAACTAATGAAGAAAAAACCCAGCAAATCTCATGCTGTATGTATATCTTTCCTTTCCATCCATCTATCCATCCATTCCTCTTTCCATAAAGTCAAAATTCTTTATGAAATTTGTTCACTTACGTGTGGTAGGGTAACACCATATAGTTTGGAAATATTTAGATTTATAGCTAGTTCACATATATATACAACAATGCCACTGGATGCGAGTACAGCACTTAAGATGTTCATTCCCACACTGGTATTGATCTGAAATAGAGAAAGTCAAAAGTCAACAAAGAAGAGGAGGAATAGGAAACCTTGTGCCCGTGGCCTGGGCAAGTTTGGAAGGGTAGACAGTGGCAAACATTTTGTTCTAGGAGGGCTAAAGAATCTGCTGAGAAGTACTAATCAGTGGCATCACTAGGTTTGGTGTCACCGGATGCGGTAACTCATGGTGTCACCCCCCCCATTGACCTCCTCCTATACCACATTATACAGAATCCTTAGTAATCTTTTTTTGTATTAATGTTACTCATAAATCATAATTCCCATGTATCATTGAATGTAATGGCAACAGTTGTAACATAAACAACTAGCAAAATTAAAATTATATATTTAAATTACAATACCACACACACAGCCTAAATGTATTTAAAATGTACATTGTTTCACGTTGTTAAAGTGAAAATTTGGTAAGATGTGATGTTTTTAAAGAAAAATTTAAAATAATAAAAACATTTAAATGTTTTAGATTTTAATTTTTAAAATTATTTTAAATGTTAATTTAAAAAAAAAATGCGCCTGCCCCCTCTCCTTTCCCGCCCCACTGATACCAGCTCTTCAGCATTTTAAAAAGACACAGGCAAATGTCATGGCTCATTTCTGCCAAGAGGCAGATGTTTGGGGAGCAGTGGTGTCATACCCTCTAGGGTGTCAACTGGTACAGTCCACATCACCTAATGATGTCCCTGGTACTAATACAAATAACTCTGATACATAGTAAATAATGCCTGCATAGTGCTGACTAAGGACCTCTGCAGACGGGCCTTTTGCGGTGTGTTGGAGGCAAGGAAGGGCAGGGGCAGCTGGATGCTGGGCACCCCATCCCCTTCCTGAGGACGTCATCAGAGCAACGGCCTGTCCACATGACGGGTGCTCTGATGATGTCCTTCCAGCTCAGCGACTGCACACGCTGAGCCAGAAGAGATGCCAAAGAGGCGTGCCATGCCTTTTGCAGCACCCCTTTCACGGCTTGCAGAAGGAGCGCTATTTTAGCACTCTTTTTGCAGGTGGCGAAAGGGAGGATCGGGGTCAAGGTGTCCACCAGCCTTGGCCTTGATCCTCCACTTCCTGGGGCACAGGGCCGCCTGTTTGCATCCCCCCTAAATAAATCATTCTAAATATGTAGTAAAGGGGAGGGTTCTTTGTTTTCATTTTCTGCTTGATTTGCAGCATTACAGAGGGGGAGATACGTTAGAAATGCTACTCTTCTGCCTGGGAGTTATCTGGGCATTGCAGTCCAAACAAAAAATATTTCCAAACTTTGCAGCATGGATGTGGGGGCTGGGAGGAGGAATTGCATCTTACCAATCTAGTATTCCAATGTTTTTCAGCTGAGACAGACACAGATCCAGAAGCAATAAACTGTCAAAAGGAAAATGAATCAATGCATTTGATATTAATGAATTTAAAATCTAAAGAAAAGTGCCCACCACTAAATCTAAAAAAAAGTGCCCACTTCTAAAAGACACAAAGACCTGCCTTGGTGCTATAGGAGTGATAATCAGTTAATAGCATACTTTCCCTTCAGTCTATTCTCTGAAGAGTGGTATAGTGGTTTGAACAGTGGACTAGGGCTCAGGAGACCAGGGTTCAAATCACTGCTTGGTCTTAGAACACCATTGGGTGACCTTGGACAAATCACACTCTCTTGGGGTTAGAAGATGGCAATAGCAATCCCCCCCGAAGAAACTTGCCAAGAAAACTCTGTAATAATCCGTCTTAAGTCTGAAATAACTTGAAGACACACAATACACACACATTCACACATATTACACTTAAAGAGAAACACCAAGGGCCTGGTTGTTCACTGCCTTCTCTTCCTATTGCAGCAAAAGAAGCACTTTGTGAGGAGAGCATTGATTAAACCTGTGAATTTGGCAAGTTGCTATTTTACATTTTAATTGCAAGCTACAGACAGAGCCTCCAACAGAAATTTTACAAGATGATACCAGAATTCTTTTGGTTATTTGGCAGGGTCTTCTTTCAAAATTGAGGCTTTAAGGTCCAAATGGACCTTAAATTCTCAGTTAAGTCTTTTCAATAAAGATAATGGCATAATGTGACATTTTAACATTGTAGTTTTTCCTTCTTTGTACAAAAATATGCTTGTGATAAAATATGAACAAAGTTGACAGATTTTGGTGTATGATTATAAAAGCATAATTAAACATGATGGCTAATCTCAGGCTATCTGAATATGACCACTAGTAAACTTTTGGAAATGCTTTCTTTCCTGTGCACCAGAATGACCAGATAACAATATACTATAAATTTTATACAAAGCAACAATAAGCCTAATCAGCTAATGAAAAGAGTTTTTTTGGCTTTTTCTAGCTGCAACACTATCAAAAGCAATTTCTCTGGCAATGTTTGATTCAATACTTGACTCACAGGATGAAATGATCCATTTGTTGAATAGAAAAAATAGACAGGTCCCTGTAAAAAGCCAAAAAAGAAAGGGAAAAAAAGAAGAGCTACCAAAGTGGGTGGAAGCGGCCCCCTGGGGGCTTTGGATAGCTCCAGGGGGGCACGGAGCAGCAGGGGGTGCTGAGAGGGGAAAAGGGGGCAAAAGAAAATTGTGGGGATGGGAGTTGCAAGCAGGGTTACCATTGTTTTTTGTGGGGTTTTTGGGCTGTATGGCCATGTTCTAGAAGAGTTTCTTTCTGACGGTTCACCAGTATCTGTGGGTGGCATCTATGGATGCTGGCCGTGAAAGCCTACAACTTCACAAGGGTTATCATTGCTGATAAAAAAAACTATGAAAGTCCGGGACTTTGAAAAGCAGCATGTCTCGAATTCCTGAAGGCAGGAGTAAAAACAAGGGAAAAACTATAGGAAAAGCACAGAGGCAGGAAGGGAAATGAGGCAAGCAGAGGCTTTCTTGTGTTCCGCTATGTGTGTGGTGATGCTGCATGCATGGTGGAACTTTTTGCTTGCTTGGGACTGGAGCTGCCCTTCCCTCCAGCTCCCACCCTACACAGAATTGTGTGTGTGTGTTTGAAAAAGGAGAGGACCCTTTATTAAGCTCCAGAGTCCCTTTCCTCCCTTTCCTCTAAGGCAGTGAACAACCAGATGCGTGTGTATGTGTTTGGGAAAAAAAGGGAGGACATATGGGCTCTGGGAGACAAAAAATGAAGTCCAGGAAATAAAATTTGCAAATAGGTCCATTAGCAACACAATGAGAAACCTTCTTTCTTTTTCTCTCCCCCTTCTTTGGCAGATAATGATTTTCTCAAGAAGTCTTTGTGTTGCTGCATCTGAAAAACCCTTTAAATTCTGCTTAAAACACATCAAATGCAATCCCATTTAAAAAACAAAAACAAATGTTTGACTTTTGTTGGAGGTAAAGACCTCAAAAAGTTAAGTCTCAGCCCTTTGCTTCCTCTTGTTTAGGATTCTTGTATCTAAAATCTTGTATCTAAAATCCAGTATCCTGAAATCTAGAAAGCATATCCAGGGGTTGTTGGCCAAGCTGCAAACAATAACACTCAAAATTCACAAAACAGTGACACCTTTTTCCTGTTTGATTTTTACCACCTTTGCCCAATGAAGAAGGCACAGCTGAGATTCAAAAGCTTGCTTCATTTATTTTGCCTGGGAAAGGCCTTCAAAGAAAGTACAGGTTGAGTACCCCTTATCCAAAGTGCTTGGGGCCAGAAGTGTTTCAGATTTTGGAATATTAGTATATACATACAGAAATCCATCAGTGATAACTTTATTGGCCAACCTAAATGCACAATATACTTGTCAAAGCTTCATGGATTTCTTCATCAGGCAAGATGTTACAAACCAAACAGGAGAAAAACAATTGGAGATATTAGACAGATGCCTGCATGTTGTTTCAGTTTTTAGTTAATATGGTATGGTGGGGAGGATATTTTTTGCAGGCAGGCTCCTCTTCCTTCTGGCCAT